GAAAGCTGAAAATTACTATTATGCAAATTAGGTGATAATATGCACAAATATTTATCCGAAACAATCAATCTCTGCATAGTCCTTGAGTATGTAAGTATCAAGTTTCATTGAAATGTAATGCTCACTACTTATATCAAAAGCTGAAAATTAATTAATTATGCAAATTAGGTAATTATATGTATTGATATTACCATAAAAACTATCAGGTCTGTACAGTGTCATATGACATTATGTACCAAGTTTCATTGAAATGTGATGATTAGTACTTGAGATATCAGTGGAAAAAAACGAAAATTGACTAATCATTATGCAAATTAGGTAATTAGTATCCACGGATTATTACCAAAAACTAATCAAAACCTAGCATTAGTTCAGAGCATTTATGTACCAAGTTTCATCAAAATCCAATGAGTGGTTGTTTAGATATCAGTGGAAATTGCAAATTAGGTAATTAACGAGCATGGATTTTTACCAAAACCAAATCAAATTGCGCATTGGCCCAGAGCATTATGCACCAAGTTTCATCAAAAAACGATGTATGGTTCTTGAGATAGCAGTGGAACAGTCGGACACACACACACACACACACACACACACACACACACACACACACACACACACACACACACACACTCACACATACATACATACAGACACACTAACTGCAAAGACTCCCAATTATGTGCTTCGCACATGGGAGTCAAAAATCAAATTATGAACTTCCTAGCTTGATAGTGGTTGATGGTATCTTACATCCATAGTGAGTAACAATTTGATCATCAATAAATTACATACTTGTTTACTTTGAAGAAGATAGCACACCCATCAACAAATCTTCTTTCATGTTCTGTCATTGTCTTAGCTCTCGACTTGGCAGTGAATACACCATCATATCCCAGCTGCTTTAACTCGGGCAGGAAAAAATTGTAATATTGTTCCGTTTCAACTTCCTGCAAAAACAAATTTATACCTGACATAAACATTGAACCAAAAGCAATGCAACCAAAGATAAATCTCACATTTAAAGTTGAATTGTTTTCAAAAACCTTTTGTCCATTTTCTGTTAGCTGTTAACAGTTAGATTGCTTCCATTTAATTTGCATGTGCTTTAGGGATGTGCCTTTAATATAATAAAGACCAAATGAATGACTCTTGACAGAGACAATATATACTTACTTGCAAGCTTATTATGTCTGCACCATATTGTAGTATTTCTTGCATTATGCCTTTCCGTCGATAGTCCCAATCTAACGCCCATGACGGACAGTAACCGTATATTTGTCTGGTAGCGTATTTGTCACACAATACGTTGTAACACATTACACTGAATATAGCTACAAAAGTCAAATGAATTTTAGGTTATAATAGCAATGCATGGCAAGTAATTGATTGCAAATCTACTTTCAGTGGCATCAATAATTCTAGTTCCTACAGTCTAAATCTCTAAATACTAAATCTCCTTTTTGTGATTCCAATACCCTGCTTGGTTCTTGGTTCCACTGTCATATTTTGGGGATCAAATTACACCTGGTCTGGTTCATAATATACATTGTTCCTACTATGTGTCCTTGTCTGGATCCAAATAGGCCATAAAAAGCTAGCCTGCCTGTCTATCTGGATCCCATTAGTCCCTAAAAAGCCTGTCTGTCTGTCTGTCTGTCTGTCTGTCTGTCTGGATCCCACTAGTCCCTAAAAGCATGTCTGTCTGTCTGGATCCCACTAGTCCCTAAAAGCATGTCTGTCTGTCTGGATCCCACTAGTCCCTAAAAGCATGTCTGTCTGTCTTGATCCCACTAGTACGTAAAAAGCATGTCTATCTGTCTGGATTCCACTAGTCCCTAAAAGCATGTCTGTCTGTCTGTCTGTGTCTGTCTGGATCCCACTAGTCCCTAAAAGCATGTCTGTTTGTCTTGATCGCACTAGTTCCTAAAAGCATGTCTGTCTGTCTGTCTGTCTGTCTGTCTGTCTGTCTGTCTGTCTGTCTGTCTGTCTGTCTGGATCCCACTAGTCCCTAAAAGCATGTCTGTCTGTCTGGATCCCACTAGTCCCTAAAAGCATGTCTGTCTGTCTGGATCCCACTAGTCCCTAAAAGCATGTCTGTCTGTTTTGATCGCACTAGTTCCTAAAAGCATGTCTGTCTGTCTGGATCCCACTAGTCCCTAAAGAGCCTGTCTGTCTGTCAGGATCAAACAACACCTTGTCTGGTCCCCATTAAGCCTTTGCCTTGATCCCACTATATCTTGTCCAAGTCTTACCTGTTGGTCTTGTTCTATCAGGTGCAGCAAATTGTATCCATTGCCTTTGAGGCGGCTGACTCTGTGGGTCTGTAAGAGACAGCATAAACAATTGTGAATGACAGTCCCTGTTTTAAAAATAAATAATGACAAGTACATGCTAT